ATTGCTATGCGTAATCTCACCTGCCAATCACAGCACCGCGGTGCTGCGTTGTGGTGGGTAACTAGGGCGACGTCTACCATCTTTATGGCTCTGAAGGCAGTACATACGTCGTCGTTACAAAAAGCCCTTCCTGCCTCCCCCCCCCACCCCCACCCCACTCCCACCAATCTTCGCCTCCTTTTAACTAGATGAAAAAGGGAGAAAACAAAAATCGAGTGAGGTGGAATTGGACGTTTGGAGGAAAATGAAAGGAAGGAGTCGGTGGGGGGNGGGGGGGGGGGGGGGGGGTGTGGAGGTGGGGGTGGGGTGGGGGAGTGGTAACTGAGGATTTGGAAGCTTTTGAGCTAAAAGCAAAACAGACGAGGAAAAAAGTCTTTTCTAGCACTGGGTGATAAATTATTGGAGGTGTCGTAATTGCTATTTTTCTGTCTTCTCCGCCTTGGCGTTTCATCTTCTTGGATGAATGACAGTCGGATACCAGGTTATTTTTATGTGCCAAGTCTAGAGTACCGTTGTTAATCGTTTAAATGGCTTATAGAGGCGTAAATAAAAATACAAATTTTAAAGACCGTTCTTATCAACTTTCCGATTGAAGTCAATTTCACTGTTTTCGTTATTTGTTCTTTGATTACAAGAAAAAATGTGTTTTCAAAGTTAAAATCGGAAAATAACACCTGCTCAGAGTTATATTGTTTCAGTGCAGCGGATATCAAATTTCTGACATTTTTACGGGACTTGGAAAGTAAAGCTCTCGGAATTCGACCTCGCCCGCTTTAGTTGAAGCTTAGGCTTGACGTTTTAATGCTCCTTGCCTTCTGAATGCATGACTCCTACAACCGTAAGACCTGAATATCGTATTTTCGTTTTTTCTTTGCCTCAAGTGTTAAGAAATCATATGGATTGCACAAAGCGCTCTTGTGTAGCAGCGAGAGAAAATTGACATTCCTCCCATTAAATAACAGTTTTCTCGTGAAACGTTAAGGAAATGCGGAAAAATTAGCGCAAACTATTTCGACTCATCCGTTGCCTTGGGGGGTGGGGGTGGTGGGGGTGGTGGGGGGGTGGTGGTGGGGGGGGAGGGAGCAGTAGTTTAGAATAATCTGTTTTCCTCTCAAGAAGGCAATGCTTTTGCGTGCAAAAAAGAGGAGGAAACATGCTGATACATCTCTCCTCTGACTCATCCTCCATGGGAGTTGAAACTATAAAACATCCACCACCCCCCCCACTCCACCCTCCGCTCTTCGTATTAGAAAAGAAGTCTCCTTGTTAATCCGGATTCGAACATAATCACGGAGAATGACCGGATATGAGGCTTGGAAAAGAGAAAGAGAGAGAAAGGGGGAGAGAGAGTATATAAACAGACACAAAATGTAGAGAAGACTTCGTGTCAGTGAAAGATGACTAAGAGGTTCTGAAGACGTGAGAATCCCCCCGAGTTCCATTGCAGAGATGATTACATCTTGCAATATTTTGAATTGACGTTGATTGGAATTACTTGCACAAAAAATAGAGAAGTCAAAATTACTTAAAGCAAATGCTCTTTCCATAATCAAATTATTCATCATGTTGATTATTTGTGAATATTTCCTGTTGACATCTTGACAGCAGAGGCGATGGTATCTATAAGAGCATCACGTTCAATTAAGTCAAACATGGCAGCACCGTGATTTGGACAGCGCACTCTCTTCCCCTTAGTGGAAAACAATTTCCTCTCTCATTTTTCCCCCAATTATAACCTGCAATATTCCAGAGGAATTAAACAATGTATGAGCAGATAATTGTATTTCCTTCGAGAATAGGGAAGACCATAAGACGCCTGAAATTTTCCCTTTTTATTGCTAGAATCCTATTCTCATTAGGGCCTTTTTCATTATTCTTAAAACAAAACATTGATTTTACAATACTAGACTCCGATTTCCCGGCTAAAGGAATAACAAATTAATTTTAATTAATTACGAAGGAAATATCAACTGAGACGACATCAGCCTTTTGTTTAAATTTAAATTTGTGCTTTTCTTCTAATCCACTAAAACAATAGGAAATTATTTCCGTGCGCTCATACCAATTATTTACTTAAATCAAATCCGCATAACTGAGGAATCGGTGTACTTAGCAGATTGCTTGAAAATTGACCAAGTTTGTTGTTACTTAGGCGCTTACTTAATTGTCAAATCATCTAAAGTCGTTTGAGCTAATTTATCCAGTTACCTTGACACGATATCTTCTTCCTCAATCTTTGTTTGGGAGAAGACTTGAATTTTCTATTATGAAAGCACGAAAAGGAGAATTTCAAGGTACTTTGCCTCTGACTAATATTCAACGCGCTTTTAGGCTTACTAATGGAAAGCACACAATGCGAATTCTCGTAAGCGTTTGAAAATTCCTGACTCTCTTCTGCTTATCACACACAGGCTTCGAGTTAATGTCTTCCCAAGTTACAACAGACAACTTCTCAGGAGGCTTCGTTTTATGGCTTCAATTCGTATCTCAACTAGCGTGTGTGTGTGTGTGTGTGTGTGTGAGCTATTTACACTTTCATCAGATTGTCAAATTAAGTGGGGAGTGGGGGGAGTGACACATGGATCAATTAGTGTCCATAGCAGACGTAACAGAGAGAGCGAATGTCTTAGATTTTGATAACAAAGATTCAATGACACTTTGGATCAGACTTAAAAATGAAATCTGTTCTTTGTTGCTTTGTTTACACCTTCATCAGAGAAAATGACAAAATGTGATTAAGTATTCGAAATTGGCAGTAAGAGAGGAAGAACGCGCGAGCTCGTAATTGATTTAAATTTAAATAATTAAATCGGAAAATAGTAATAAATCAATTTTATTAGCACTTTGGATGTCTGCAATTTTGGTTTGTTAATTTCTATTAGATTAAAGCATTTAATTCGCCTCCCACCCCCCTCCCTAAAACGTAGGTTAGAGTGTTCGTGTACTTCCTTCAAATGTTTGAACTATTTCGAGTAAAATACTCGAATTTATAGGTGGCTGTTCAAATACGCTTTTTTAAAATTATTGTAATTATAAGAGTTCACTTAGATGGAAACATTTTTCATATCCTCATGCCCACTTAATTCTGCCAAAACACTTTTCGCTAAACTGTAATATATCTCTGCTCTCACAGACACGTAATTTATTCAAGTCGATTTTCCAGACTGGGGTGTGCGATAGGCTTACCTCCACGTGGTGCACCCTGGGCAACGTATACCCATACGGCAAAAAAGTCTATTAACTGGCAGTTGACTTGTGACTTCAAACTACCATGACCCCATTGTATGTCATATTCCAACACTTTCACAGTACTCACCTCACCTTTCATCCACCTTCGTTTTTGAAACACTCTTCTGTTCCCCTCCCCTCGACTTTTTTTCCCACTTTGATGTTCCTTCTCCTCTATGAAGCCTGAAGTCAACTAAAGAGGTAATGATAACCATCAAGACGCCTGCCACTTGATATAAATACATACATTTTCCAGACTAAGAAGGCTCTAAAAAATTCGAAAAGCTCAGATTCTTAATGGAATTTCATATGTTCCTTTAGCTCCTCCCCCCCTCCACCTTGTAAATCGTTTGATTAGTCGATCTTCCCCCTTTTGGCTTGGCATTTATCCTATTAGGTGCAACAATTTGCTTCATACAAACGTTGGGCATGCGAATTTGTCACATTTATGCAACCCATAATACTTTGAAGGTACCTGTAACTCTCCCAGTTGAAGCACCTTTCCACTTCACAGGAGAGGCCTTACCTAGCACACACACACACACACATAGTGGTGTTGATAGACTAACCAGACTGTTTGCCAATCGAAGTCTGGGGGGTTTGGTCGACTCACGTTATCTCCCTCACTCTCTCACTCTTTCACTTTAGTCACTCAAATGCTAATGAGATGGAGATGCCGCCATGGAAGTGTTTAATTAACAAAGTAATTTTAATCTAAACTATTGAGCGCCCACCCACTGTTAGGGCTAGGGGTGTAAAAAAAAATTCTACACCTCTCTCTCTCTCTCACCGTCTGGAATTGAAAGTAAGAGAAATTGATCAAACCTTGTTGAGTTTACCCAGCTGTGTAATAGGAGGGAATCAGGAAAATCTATGAATTATCTTTCTAGAGCTTGAATCCTCCCCATCATCGTGAATCTGGTTAAGTAGGAGCCCGAAATCTCTGCCTTTACCTTCTCATCTCCGACCTCAATTATCCCCACTCTAAATCACTTCCCCTCAATTCTCGCTTGAATTTCCTTGATATACTCCTTCTGCTTATCGTGTTATCAAGAGTTGTTTGGTGAAAGATTTGAAGATTTTTAGATTTCATGAAACGACTTCATTCAATCGCGTCTTTCTTTCTGCTACTAATTTGCACCCAACGGAGGTTTAAAGTTGTTTGGCCACAAAGTCTCTAATTATCGCTCTTCTCTTTCCCCAACTAATCGACGTTTCATCTAATGGAAATAAAATTGACCCTGATTTAAACACATACACACACACACGCGCTTTTTCAGTTTTAAATTTATTTCCCCATATGGAGTTGGCCATTAAAACATAAGTTTAAATCTTAAAAATGCCGCCTCCATTAAATATAACAAAGGTGGTTGAGCTTTGGATTTCATGTGCGCGATAACCGCTTGTGTTTCCTACTTTATGCTTCCTGCAATAACCTCTCAACAACTGTAGGAATTTATGTGGAAAAGGTTGGTTTTGTGTGTTTTTTTTCGAGGTTTAGTCAGCTTAGTTTGGAAAGAGAAAAGAATTTGGGTGGGAAAAAAAGGACATAATTTTACGAAACTCATTAAAACTCCTTTCTCCACGCGCTCATTTTCGCTGCTGTAGTTACTTTGAAAGTGGCCTTTTTTTGAATAATCTGAAGCCGCGGGGTAATTAAAAAGAACGCGCATGTGGTGAGTCAAATGGACAAGCCTAACGGCTATGTAAGTGCTTAGTCATAACAACAGGAGCAAATGTGGTGACAATTTTCACTTTTTTCCAGGCACAAGATGGACTGGCGCAGTTTCAATTTGAACTCAATTCTCTGCCTCGTATTACCGCTTCTCGCCGTTCGAGGGAGGGAGATAAAAGCTGATGAAGTCTGTCAGATCTGTGATGGGTGTATATACGGCTCCATCTCCTGCCAAGAAGCAGGTCGATTGCATATGCTCCCCAACGATCTCCCCCCAGGCATTCGAAAAGTCATTATTGTCAGCCAGCGGTTTGACAGTCAATTTCTCTCCCGACAAAACATATCCTCCTACTCCCTACCTGGTACCGTCATACAGGAGCTAACGATTATGGACTGTGGCCTTCGAGCAATCGAGTCTCGGACCTTTAGTGGACTAAATAGTCTTACCAAATTAGACGTATCAAAGAACTCACTATCCAGGATTCAGGGCAATACCTTCTCGGGTCTAAGGTTGGACCTATTGCGATTGGATGACAATCAGGGCTTGACTCTTGATGCAGAAGCATTTGAAAATCTCACCGTATCCTCTCTATCTATGCAAAATTGTGGTCTTCGAAGTCTTTCTTTTGAGGTTTTCCGACCTCTCCTACAATCCGGTACCCTTACCACACTACGCCTAACCTCCAATAGCCTTACCACTCTTGACATACGGTTCGAGCCCTTTTTTCGCAATCTCTCATTCCTCTCCTTGGCTAAGAATCCGTTCACTTGTGACTGCAAACTCATGTGGCTTAGTCGGACTCTCCAACGAAAACGTCGGGAGGATAATGATGATGCTTTTCCAATGATCAATGATGATATTTTATTAATTGAACCCGACGATGATCATCCAATATGTGAATCACCAAGCCGACTGCGTGGAAAGCAGATTGTTACCCTCGCATCAACTGACTTTTACTGTGGACCACCACAGATGAAAGCACTGGAAGTCGATTTCAGTAGTTTTCGTGTGGGTGGGGGAGAAACAGTTAATACAACTGCTGGAATAGTCATTAAGTGCGCGGCTCAAGGCTCCCCTGAAATGCAATTAGCTTGGTTTCAGCGTGATCGGTGGGGCAATGGACTCGTACCTCTATCCGGATCCAAACATGTATCCCCAGGAGTTGTCGAGGTATCAATTTCTCGTTCTTTGCTTGCCAAGAATTCAACAGGTGGCAGTGAGGAATTGGGGGAGTTGTTTACCTGTATGGGAATAGATACCTATGGAAACACAAGTGCCGACTTGTCCTTAAGGTGGCCAGCGTTCCAACCGACCTCAATTGTGCCATCCCAGCCCTCGGATAAACGAAATTCCCCAGTACCGCCCGCTGGTGATGCTGACTACTTAGAAGTGGACCAAAAAAGTTTTAAAACAGACCGACTGGACGAATTCTTCTTTATGGTAGGTTGATTTTCTCCGCATTTTGTGGGAACCTCATGGTCACTATTTATTTTACAATCTAAGTGGGGTTAAAAGGGGCAAATTTTATGACAGCATGCTCTCTTTCACTTAAATGAACGAAATTGTTGCCTCTTCTACTCATGATAGAGTCAATATGTGAATCACTACTAATTGCATCAAGTTGGTATTGATTAATTCAAACGCATTCAAACACCCATCACCAAAGGTAGCGTTCACTTCATTAGTAGCTGATTTAATTAGAGCAGTTAAACCGAAGTGGTTACCATTTCAGAAACCGTAAAATGCTGACTCAGAAAAGCTCAAATTGTCTAGCTATGGAACAAGTCGTTAAAAAAACGTCACGTAGGGACAAAAAATGGCTGCCTATGAGAAAAGAAAAGGTGTGAATCATAAGAGAGAAAAAGTAACGCAGAGACAGATAAAAAGGAGTTGGTTTGTATCCCTATCCCATTTAAATGTGTTTTGACTTGTCATGGCAAGCACCTTTTTTTGGGAAATACATCTAGTCTCCGGGAGGCTGAAGCAATTTTTTTGTGTGATTTGGACCCAGATGTAGTTAAGAGATGTAAGAACTGTGCTGTTTTTTCCCCATTTCAGAAAAAGTTTACAGTCCTGGAACTAATTGGCGCCGTGGTGGGGACCTTCACAGCAACTATAATGCTTTTCCTAATGGGGTACATCCTCCTCTACATGCGTCATCGACAACAATACCCCAAAAGCCCATCCAAAACCGTTTATCCGCTAGTATCTAATACTGGACTAACAAAGTTCCCAGATTACCATGTTCTTGAATCCAGCCCACAGCGACAATTTCAGAACCACTTGGAATGCCTTGGGAATCATTCATGTGATATCTCAACGGAAAAGCGTCGGTTGATGCAAAACGGGAATTGGACAGACTCTACTCGACGCGGTCCGGAAGCAAGAACAGGCAGTAGTGTTTACTCTGAGTGTCCCACGTATGACCTCCCTTCAAATCATTTAGTTGCTCCTCTTCCTCCACTCCCTGCTGATCCTCCGCCCCCTTCACCTCCCAATTCAACCATCAACCAATTTGGGACAGTTGGCGGGATGCCGATTGTTTACCCCCAGTCCCACTTTCTTGACCCCAATTTGGCTGCAGCAGTTGCTAATACCAGTGGGAACAATAGCCAATCCAACAACCTTCTAGCTCAAACACTCACAACTAATGCGATCTTAGTGGACATGCTCACTATGCAACGTCGCCAACACCAGCACCAACTTCAACACCAACAGGCCACCTCTCCAAATCAAAATTTCCGATTCTAGGACCACTCTCTCAGCCTCCCTTATCCTCCCCTGTATATAGAAATACTACTACTTATTATATATATATCTTATTGTGCCTGATCGAAATGCCTCGTTACAGACACACGCATATCCCCATATTCAACCCTTCACAAAAAACAGTCACATTGAAACGCCTTTCCTTTGTCTTACGGAGCTCCTGAATTCATTAACCATGCTCGCCTCAATTATAAAATCATTTATTAAAAGATCGACTTCTCTGATAAATTCTACAGCTACGTGCTGATCTAATTAGACTATACGATAAATTTTGCTAATTAAATGTGGCTTTTAAAATTGATTCAAATTTGAAGCAACTATTAAGGGTAGCGTTATTGGCAAAAAATTTTTTGGCAGGCACAAGTACCTCAGAGCTGCTTTGGGTCAGAAACTGCTCTCTCCTAGCCAAAGGGTCTATTTTTCCGGAGGAAAATCAATAATTGACTTCCCATCTGACACTTATTTCCATCCAGTTAACCGTTTACGTCAAGGCGGGGGAGAGGGGGGGGGGTGAAGTAAAGTTTTTTGTAGTTTTTTGAATGAAACGTTTTCAAAATATGGAAGCTCGAAGTGGAAATAGAAAATGTCCTGTGGCCTTCTATCGCATCAATCTATTTCCCGACTTGGTACCACCTTCCCCGGCCCCGCTTCTTAGCATTTGAGGCTGTTGGAGGTTGTTGAATGCAAACAAGTGGATGCGAGTTTCTCACGACCAAAATTAAAAGGAAAAAAGTCAGTTCAATAAGTTTGAGGCTTCACTAGAGCTTAGTCTGCCAATATGCATCCTGACAAGGGCAGAAATTAAAATTGTGTACGATATCCCTTCCCCAATGGACATTTCCTCCCGCATTGCAAGCAATTACTTTTTTCGATGAAAGTTTCCAACTGCAATTACTTAATGGGAGCAAAAAAAGTTTGTAATTTAAAGCATGTTAAATAAAGTTTCGTGGATTTATTATTGCTAAATTTCCCTACTTTTAATTTGCATGGTTTGCTAAAAGTACGAACGCATATATGCAAATTAATTGAACGCCAGCAGAATATTAAATTCGCATTGTAATTATCATAATAGCAACTTTAAATTCAATTTATCCATTTCAAGAGTGCAAAGAGATTATTTGTTTAAATAAACAAATAAAGGCGTTGTGCGTATGCAATTTACCTGTTCTTTCGTAAAAAAGGGGTACAATTTCGAAAGTGATAGACAGAATAACTTTGAAGCAAGCACGTTTTATGCTGGCAACACTTTCTGAAATACCTCTTTCACAGGGTTATGTGCATGTGAAGGCACATATATTATCCATGGAATATAGACAATAAGAGAAACCCTTCCTTGCGAAATGCACCTAGATAAGATGTTATCCTAGAGAATTCGTCTGTATCTGGAACCTTGATTTGGTCGTAAATGATATTTTGGAGAGAAGTAAGCATTTATCAAATAAAAGGTCTATCTTTAATCTTAAACGTCTAACTGTTGGGACGGTATAAGCCGTTGATGAGGTCTCGGCTATTTTGGTACCTCAAATGTGCTTTCGCATTAAGTTCAATCAAATCTACTTAAAAATTCAGTCGAAACATGCGAATGTTGGCCGGAAAGATCCTTCAAATTTCTTGCTTTGCATCTGGGAAGGTATCAAACGAGTTGACACAAAAGAAGAGGGCATTTCATACCGAGTTGAATAAGACACTTCGAAGGAAAAGGTGACGCGAAGGAGAGTGCCATTTTAATGTTGATTTCTTACAAAAATAATACTCAACCGCAAACACCAATTAAATATTGCAAATGAAGTGTGAAATCGTCCTTGCAGGCTCCCATCGTCATCAAATGAAATAGAGGAGGGGAGTGGGAGTGGGGAGGGAGGGGAGGAGAGGGAGGGACGAGAATGACTAAAAGACCAGCGAATTCCCTCGCAAAAAGGTGATCTTAGGACACTGGTAGAAAGGAGGATTAAAGAAAGATGGCAAATAGCATAATACATTAGGAAAGATGAAAAGCAATGAAAGGACAGACATTCTGACAATTTTCGGCTTTAAATCCAGTAAGATCGCCAATTTCATGACTTGTCATCTTCCATAGACTTGCAGCTACTGCTTGAATTACCTCTACTGTCACATAGTGGACACTGTTCATCGTTGAATATGGATTGCAGTGGTTGGTGGGAAGTGGCGGGGGGAGGGGTGCTTCCAAAGTCTGCTGTGCCTTTAACGCTTGGAATAGGCGGCCTCTGATTATTAATGCCTCCATGTCTGTGTTATAATAAAACACTTCTAGACGTTTACTGCACAAAAAATATATGTCGTTTTGCACCGCCATTCATTATTCGCCTTCGCAACAGGAAAGAAAATCGCTATTCAAGTTGCAGTGCTTTGGCCATTTTCGATTCCCACGGAACTGCGCAATCACTTATTTCAACCCCCAAAAAAGCAGGCCACACCAAATTTCAGCAGCATTCGTGCAAGCTTACGATAAAAAAGTATAATTTACGATTGTGATGTAAAAAAAAATTAGCAAGAAATTACTAAGGATTCAGACTAATTAGGATAGTACTTTTCAATGCAGATTTAGTTCCCCAAAAGCGTTACGCTTTTCATAAATACACTTATGAATTAATATGTTTTCCCTTTCTAAGAGGTCAAATTTCTGATAACGCTAAATAATAATTCCTAAATCGATTTAGAAAAGAGCCTTCAACGTCCTTATTGGACCGAAGGAAGCACCACAAGGCCTCCTCGTTTGAGGTGTCATAATTCCACCTGACTTTATCAATTCACGGGGTTATTCTGCTCACTAGCTGCGGTGTACCGATTGGCATCAATTTCATGATATCTGACTTTAAAGTCAGCCTCGCTAGCCCTTGTGCACCAATGATGCAATCAAAATTTCAGACAACTGAATTGGCAGACCACAAAAATGAATGAATTTAGTGCGAGAAGTTAGTCGTCGCTTTGCTCATGTCAGTTGCGACCAGGAAATGATATAATTTCCAGCCGCAAATCTGCATTGCATATGATTTAGTTATGAAAATGGCAAGAAAGAACACATAAAAATTGACCAACAGCGAAGGACTAAATACACCAACCTTCATGAAAGTCATAGTAAGCAAAAGGCGTTCCAGCTTAGCAATCATCAGTACAGGGAACTGAAACTACTTCTACCTTAACTGCTGAATAGAAAAATACTGGTCAGAATATGGAAGTCTGGGTAGAGGCAAATCGATAAAAGCTCAACGGTCTAGTGAGGAGCCATGTATGATAAACTGAATAATTACGAAACCATTTAAGATAGACTGTAGGAAGCCTTATGGAATATATTCTTCGCAATCGAGAGAAAACCATAAACTTAATCTGCTTATTCAATTGGATTTCCATGCTCATACGTGGATACTTAAGACCACCCGGGGAAAAGCCGTCGCTGTTATTATTGGCCAATCAGGTAGCCAATCATTTACCACCCTTCTAAGCCTATAAAAGTCAACTATTTTGTTAATAGAAAAAACAAGTCGTTTGAGCTGTAGGTCTTTCCTTACTCTGTAGCTGACTAAGAGTAGAGATAAACCAAAGACTCTCCCAATCAGTTATTTTATATAAAATTTCTTTCAAATCTGAATAAGAATTTTAGTCTAACTGTCTAAATGGACGATACCATGGTCACATTGGGATGTATTGGTGGCATTTAACCAACTTTTTCCCATTCTTATGCACACGACGACAATTTTTTAAGCCAGACAAATTGAATATATACAACTATTTTATAATGCAGAAGTTAGTGAACCTGAATGCGAATAAACTTGGAAACCGGAGCCAGACAGTTGAAAACTTAGCTACTTCAAAGCCTCGCCCTCCTCACTGAATAGTAGTTCTGAAATTAAGCAGTTCATTAAAAGAAACGCTTGAGCTAAAATACCATTTATTTATTTCATATGGCAGGCGTTTTGATAGCTATCATTAGCCCTTTAACTAACTTCAGGCTTCACAGAGAGGAGGAGGAACAACAAAATGACAAAATGTCGAGATGGGGGAAGGAATAATGATTAATAGACGTGAAAGTGTCAGGCAGTCACAAAGGCAGAGAAAAGGTAAGATGAGTACTGTGAAAGGGGTCGAATATAACATGCAGTGGGGTCATGGTAGTTTGAAGTCGGAAGTCAACTGCCAGTCAATAGACTTTTTTGCCGTATGAGTATACGTTGGCCAGGGTGCACCACGTGGAAGAAAGTCTATCGCACACCCCACTAAAATATCATCAAGGACAGAAGAATGGATTTTAATTATTGTAGAAAATTTGGGAAAAATTCTTTGTAACTGAACATTACCAACAAAGCACCGTTTTAAGTGAAATTTATTGAACTCTGGTAAGTGTTCCATACTTCTGAGAGCCTCATTCATCTACCTTTAAAATAAAGGCGAACAAACCAGAGATAACTGACCAAGAAGAACCCACATAAAACAGGCTTCTAAGTCGATGGACGTTGAAACTTGATCAGAAACCCAGGGATTAAATCATGAAAAATTTGATTTTGTAAATTTGTTTATTTTACTTCAATTAAGGAAGAGGATGCATTTTCCATTCATTTGCTAATTATCCTTCTCCCTTCTACATGCTGAGGTGCTCTCCCAGAACAGATGCCTCCAAAACACTTGTCTTACCATTAGAAACAATTATTAATGCTAGTACTAGTGGAAAATATGTGTTGAAAAGGTTGGCGTTGTAAAACACTTCAAGTTGTCAATCCACAAGGGTGACGTAAATATTTGTCCACAAGGTGTCTCCGTGTGAAAATTGTTTAATAGAGAGAGAGTGAGAGAGAGAGAGAGAGAGCAATCAGAACGTGCATGTTCTTCCTATAGGTGTCAAATCAAAAATCAGGTGAGACAATAACTACCACAAAAATCTCTGTTTATTCAAGGGAAAAGTGGCCTGCCGCTGGCCTTGTGCGCAATTTCCTGGCACATTTGATACAAGTACTCTGATTCAACTAGTC